GTCCTAGCACAATTGGAGCCGTGGGGTGTAATTGAGTTACTAGGAACTCCACCTTGTGAATCGTTCCATCCGCAAAACTGATCTGGTCAGTGTAGGTCTGAGTTATCAATCCTGCGGAGGTAGGTTTCCCATCGAACAGCTCCAAAGGGATACTGTTTGTTAGGTCAACCAAATTTTCTGGGTGTCGCATAGCGACGGTTTTGTCTATGAAGCATCTAGTTGCTCCACTATCCACTAGTGTGGCGTATTCTTTGTCTTCATCGAGGTCAGAGAACGGAAAGCGTGTAAGGATGATGAAGGAGTTGTAGGATCGGGATGTGAGACGAGCTGGCTGACTCCCCGCGAGTGCAGCTCTTATTGTGGCAGGCGAAGGTGTTGCGGGGCTTCGCAGTTCGCCCTGATCTACCTCGAAGCCCCCTGCCCATTTCCCACTTCGTCCAACAGTTCTTGCTCACCTCCCTTTGGTGAGTCTAAGATGTGGACGTTCCATAGATCGTCCATTCCTTCCCGTTCTTCCACCACGATCCCGGCGCGAATCCGTTCTAAAGGACGAGTTGAATCGTCCTTACGACCTCCCCCTTGGTTGGCCATCCCTTTTCCTCGAGTTGAATCGGCCTTGGAAGCTCTCTCTGAGCTCCCTTGATCCTCCGCTGGACGTTCTAACGATTCTGGGTTAGGGCAGTCCTTTGCCCAGTGCTCCTTTCGTCCACAACGCATGCAGAGCTCCTGCCTTCGTCTCCTCCACTTCTCCGCTCTTTCCTCAGGAGTCCATTTCCTCCCGGTATCGGTAACTCCTGCTCAGAGGACTGCTTCAGTCCATTCTCCTCCATCCCTGCAGTGACAGCAGTCTTCGTCCCCCTCTCGATTCTCGCTATCGTAACTTTCTCCTTCCCCCCAAGCTGCAGACGCCCTTTGTCGTCCCTCTTTCCAGTTGGACCTGTTTTGGAACCTCCCTGTCGCAGCTGGTTTCGGATTGGAGGTCCATACATCAGCTGGCTCTCTTTCCCTCCGCAAGGGGGACTTGTAAGGAGCTTCAGGTGCTAATTCCAACCCGGGGAAGCGACTCAGCCATCCTTGCAGTGGTTTTTTGCCGTGGAGGTTCCTCAGACTCTCCGCTTGCGCACGTACAGCTCCATCCAATTTCGTGAACACTCGAGTCCATTCATCGTAGGATTGCCAAAGCGCACTTGTCCTTTTCCCGAGCATAGATGGTAGGTCATACTCCAAACATCCTTTCCAAACTGAGGACCCACGTCTTCCATGCAGACCGGTCGTCACCTGCGAAGCTTTCGATCTTACCGACGTCGAGCTTCGACTCAATGGTAATCCGATTTTTTTCTTCGTTGCTCTCCCACGTACTCCGTCCCTCGTTGGGAGGTCTATGTAGGAGTGTTTCGGTTAAAGGATATTGGTTCCGTAGCTTGCCAGCTCCTTGGCTGGGGACCTACAGGAGAAGGACCCCCCCTCGTATATTCTCTCATTACCCTAGGTGCTCGCCCGGATAATCCCGCCGTGTTTCCTGTTTTGGAAAGGGGTCCTCCAGTCGGTACTTTCCCCGCTGTGAATCCTTTCTTTACCTCACGGAGTTGTTCCTGGAGCGTCTCAATGACCCAAGCCTGTTGTTGGATCATTGCTACCGATTCCTGAGAATGTGCCGAGTCGACAACCATGCCAGGTTGGTTCGTCTGAGCTCCCATTACAAAGGGAGTTCCTAAAGGGGCTCCCTGCGGGGGTACCGCCTCTTCGTGAACTACCAACGTCCTTTGTTGGTTCGGGTCCCTTTGACTTTCTGCTCCCACCGCGTGGGATTGCATCAATACTGACCCTTGATAGGGTATGACTGATGGATTGCTCAGTCTTGGAGGAACGTGTACAGGGTTGGGAACCAGCCGAGCTGTCAGATCTTGTCTGTAGATCCATGATGAATGTTGCGCACCATCCATCCTTACCTCCCCAAACTGGTACCGCTGCGTCGAGACTGGCGTTACCGGTTTCGTTTGCAGGTTAACTCTGGGGGGAGGAGTCGAATTTTGAGCCAAGGCATGTACCGTGGGGGAGGTCCCAGAGCGTAACTGGGGGCTCCTCGTGGCCGTGTTACCGGGGTTAAAGAGTTCAGGAACCTCGATACTCCTGGGTGATGAATGTTTCTGTGCCAGGAAACGACCATCAGATCCATGGAGCTGCCTTTTCTGGTCAAATTGCTCTGGAGGGAACTCCCCTACGCTCTCTGGTTCGCATTGAACCATATACGAGGTCCCCCGATTATCCGCGACCAGTCTGCGACGGAATTCCAAAGCTCTTTCTAGATTCAATCCAGAAAGTTCCTCCGACAGCATCAGAGTGTCTGATTCCGCTAGTAGCGTCCGGTGTCGGGTCTCTTGCGAACACAACATCGCTTCAGACTCCTCACTCCTCACCAGAAGCTGGTGCATATGCCTCATGGGCGTGTACGTGTATACCGTCTGTCCGCTACGGACCCGGACGGGACTATCCTGATCAGGCATTGACTCCACTGGGGCCAGGAGGTGAGCCGTGGTGTATCTCCTGCGTCTGCGATTTTTTGCAGCAATTGCGTTAGCATCCTCGTTACTTTCCTCATTGATTTTAGCTGCTGCTTCCGCTAGGTTTGCGTTCCGAAGTATTTGGATCGCCTGGTAGTTCGGTATGTTAACCCTCGAAGGGGGAGGTTCAAACCGTACGGCTCCTGATCTGTAGTTAGAGGCTCGGTACAATATACGTAGCCCTGCTTTGCCACAGAATTCCTTCTCCCTTCCATGGGTATGAGGGAGGAGGGGAAGTATTCCCCTCGAGTTGCGGAATGATCGCCCGTAACGTGCCTCTGCCTCTAACAGTTCCAACATCCTCTCTGGGTCCAACAGGACGTTGTACAGCCAGAGAAAATCTGATCGGTTCGCGGGGGTCATCAGCCACTGCTGGGCCTTCTCTGGGAGGTCTATCTCCAGTTGAGTTCCCACTGTTAGGAACTGTACTCGTAGATCTGAGAATTCGAGACCGTCTCCCAATATTTCGATCCCCATTGACTCCAATACCTCCCTTAGGACCATAGCTACATCCTCCGGGATACACTCCTGAATTCGAATGACGTCTTCCAGACGCAACGTCATTTCGGACAAGGGTTGTACTGGGAAGTTGGTCCTGCTATGGTGTATTGCGTGTGTACGCTCCCAGTTGGGCGTATTCATAGCTGGGCTCTTCAGGAGACTGGAGAGTGAACTTCCTCGTCTCGGGGGAGGAAGGTTAAGGGACTGTACTGGAGGCATTGGTAACCTCCGGGATGACGCCTGAGATTGTTCAGATATGGCAGGGGATACCCTCCTCTCTGGAAGTTTCTCCTGTTGTCGTACTGTGAGAGGGTCAGTACTTCCCCCTTGTATCCTTTCGATAGCAGCTACTTGACCGCTGACTCTTCCACCCGCGTTTGAAGCTGACTCCATGTCTAGCTGCGGTATCGGTCCAGGGGGAGGTCCTCTCGTTCCCCAGGTAGGGGAGTATGCGAAACCTCCCATGGGACTACTGGCAGGTTGGGCGTAACCCATGGAGGTATACCTCCGTTGTGGTGGTCCCATCCCAGGTTCCACTGGAGGGGGCCCCTGAACCTCCGGTTGACGTCCCTCTGGGGTCCGGATGTTGCTGGCGGTTTCATCCCCGAACGACTGTTCTGGGATGGACATCAGGCGTTGACCAGCTGCCACCGTGATGACAGTGGAGCTAGCAGCCTGGTTCGATTTTTGAGCTTGTGTCGTGTTTCCACGAGATAAGGCGCTCTTTTGTTTCTTTGATTCGGTCTTGGAACTAGAAGGTCGTTCCGTTGACGTCGCCGACATTTCGTCGCGACGAGTCCGTTCGGTGACGGGAGAGCTTGGTATAATGTAAGACCTGGGTCAAAATAGGTCTTAGGGTAGGTTTTGGTATGTGGAGGTTTATGTTGTAGCGTGCTAGGAGCAGGCTGGAGCTCGAAGGGAGCTACAGGAACCGCGACCGAGGACGGGAATGACCTAGTAGTGGCTGGAACGACGGGATGGTGACCCTTGAGGGATTCCTAGGAGGTCCAGGGAGGTCCCTAAGGCGCAGGGAGGTTAAGGAAGAGTGCGGGACCGTACTATATTGCGTAGTAGGAGTTGTACTCGCTAGAACGTCAATATAGGATCGAGTAGGTCGTATGTATAGATGGGTCTCGAGGTGGTAAGCTCCCGAGAAGGGATGTGCCAGGGAGGGTAGGTCCCTGGGGGCTAGGCTTGAGGATGGACGTCCTCGAGTGTGGGAGGTGGTAACGGAGAAGCAGTACGTAGTTCGACGTGAGGGGTAGCTTCGACATTACCTAGATTGAGGTCCTGAAGCCTATAGAATAGCTAGGGAGCTCGAGGAGGTTTGGGGAGGTTAGCTCACCAAGGCAGTAGGCGTTGGGGAGCTTTAGTATTGTTCGAGGGAGCTCGGGAACTCACTCGGATTGCTTAGACGTAAAGTAAAAGCGTGTATTGGGTCGTATAGATGATCACAGAGACGATAGACAAGAGTTGAGAGAAACAGAGGTAATGAAACAGAGAGTAAAGAGAAATCCGTATGGTTAGCAGGTACAAAGGGACAGGGACTGGACCTATGCAAAAGGGTGTGTGTTCAAAATATACCAAGCTGGGCTTCTGGACGCTACTGGACTGATTAAATACGTATAGGGAAGTTAACAAAGAGACATAGTACGAAACGGGCACTTAATGGGGTTTCTAAGTACATGAGGATGGACAGGAGGACGGAATGATGGGCGCATGTGCGGGGTTCCAGGACCCTGTCGTGTAGTGGTTCGGTTGCATTGAGGGGAACTAAGGATCTTGGAGGTTGTCCTAGCAGCGAGGAGGTTTGCGGGGCGTTGGGAGTGTTCTCAGGGGTTCAGGGAAGTGGGCTGAGGAGGTAAGGGGACTGAGGAGGTTGGGAATTATGTTAATGAGCTTATGGGCTATGGAATTCGGGGCGAGGCATGACAAGATGCATCTATAGAGCGACATAGCTTTACTCATGCTCAGAAGATGCGAGCAGCAGCCACATTTGGATTTGGAAGAGCCCATGGCCTCGGCATGCAAGCCTGGCACCGGAGTGAAACAACCGGGAAAATGTTGGGAAACCCTTCGGTTTCTGAAACTCTGACTAGCTATATGCTTAGTCTTCATCATCATAAGGTCAGCTTTATTGTTCTTCACTCATTATCAATCTCTCAAATACTTTTGAAAAGACTCAAATAGGAGAGACAGCAACCAGTGCACGCGCTGCAACTTCAGTAAGTAGCTTTGTATAAAACCTCCGACAATTTGACCACTATGTGATGCAGGATTTATTGTCCAAACTATTTCACTTCAATAATCAGCCTCAATTCTGAGAGCCTCAGCCTTTTCAATCTACTGCGCGAAATACTCCTAAGAATTCTCAAGATTGGGCTAGTGCCCGAGCTCGTTCATTACTCAACCTAGGTTACAGCCTTGCTTTCTGTGGCCTTCTCCGTGTAGATGAATTGCTGAAAATTCAGCTTCATGACATAGAATTCGAAGAGATAAATGGGCGGTGGAAGTTGACTCTTCAACTACCCTTTTGAAAAACTAGTCAATTCGGAGGTATGTTATTATTAACTATTGTAAAAATACTCAAGACATTCATTCTATCATTTTTGAAGCAATCAAGCCATTTGTCTGGTGGATGATGCCCGAAGAATATTCTCATCTATGTGTTGTGCGTGCATTTGCAAGGTGGATCATTGTATCAGATATCACAAACGGCTACCTTTTTCGGAAAATACGTGCAAATGACCGAATTGCAGAGGAGAATGAGCCAATGGTCAGTGCAGTTCATCCGTCTATGGCAATTGTCACCTGAAATGACTCCTCATAGACATCTGAGCAATTCTTGGAGATGTTCTGAAACAACCTTATTGACATTGGAGTTGACCACATTCCCTATGGTACTCATTCCTTTCGACGTGGTGGATGCCAATGGTTGTCAGTAGAACGGCGGTGGCCACTTCGTCAAATTTGTGAGTGGGGTGGATGGAGCCAGGAGTTCACTCATTTGACAATTGTCAAATACCTCATTTCTTTGAACGATAACCCCACAGTTGACCACGATGACTTTTTTAACCTGAACCGACCACCTGCTTTTGTTTGTCCTGCATGTAATCGTTCATGCCATTGTGCGTAAAAGTTTATTTGAATGTATAAACACTATGTATGTCATATATTATAGACCTAGTTGTCGTTAATTGGATGATATATTAATTGAGGTCCATGGTATGTTTTTCAAAATAGCGACGAGCAATAGCTGTTCTATCAGTTAATACCTTTCCACGATTTACAAAGATTTTATCGAAGTCAGCACCGTACTCCACTTTTGCCCTGTCTACAATATGCTGCTCATGCGCAGCTCGTTGAACCCGCAATGTCTCACATATCCTCTTCCAGTTGAAAGGGTTCCCATCTGCAGAAGAAAACTCTTTCCAAAAAGCATCGGCAGTACTTGAGCAATATCGTTCGACAACAAACTAAAGTGAAAATGAGAAATAAGGAAACCAAAAAAGAAGGAGAGCTGACCTTCCATTCAGTCCAATTTTTCTTCAATGCCTTCCAGCGAGCATCCTTCTTGCCACTAAAAACTTCAGGCCAGTACCGAAGGGCGATAGGGGTGCCGTTAATCAACAAAAGGTTGGTGCCACAGTCAGCAGGGTCCCAGTTCGGGCCTTCATCATCCCATATGCGTTCGAGATGGGGGATGTTAGTTGCAAATGATATTTGGCGAGGGTCACAAATGTCAGCACTCTCGAAGTTAACCAACTGCCCATGGGCAATCTTGATTGTAGCGATTCCCTTTCCCACAGGAGAATTCACAGCGGAGACCTCTGGGTGACATACAATATTCAGTACCTCAGCCTGAGCAGAAGCCGAAGAGCGATGATTACCTGCCGAGTCCTCTGTATCAGCCATGACAACATTATCCTTCTTGCCCTCGTAAACACTATGCATCTCTCGCATAGGCTCATCAGTCTCCTTGCCGTCCCCGTCCTTCTCCTTCGTAAGTCTATTGCCAACTTCAAGCATAGGTCCATCGTTTTGCCGAGCCACAGGTTCATATTCCATGTCAGTTTCAGTTGTGAATCCGGTGTCGTTGACCCTTGGATTAGATTCTAGAGAAGATGTTTGAGTATGAGGGTCTCTAAAATGATTTCCTGCTCACCCTCAATTCGAAGTTTCAGTGGTGCAGATACAGGCCTAAACGTGGAGAGAATGTTGGAGTCTAGAACAGACCTTGAGATACTACAGGCAACAAGTTAGACAATAACTCACCCAATAAAGATATAGAGTGCAACCCCGAGGTAGCAAACGGAGCCGAAAGTAAAGTAGGAAGACATTGAACCAGGGTACCAACCATTGAAGCTAGGCCATCAATCTTTTCGTTTGTTCGCATTTGTTCACTAAGTAATGCCTATACAGCTTTAACTACTTATCCGCTGAAGGAACAGTGATGACTTACAGATGCAGATTGCACTTTAGCAGCATCAGCTTTGGCTTTGGCGCGGCGGTTCAGTTCTTCAAGTGGAATATAAGGATGAGTATCACAGAATTTCTTTGCCTATCATAATAATAAGAGTAATTTTAGATACTAGCAGAACGATGGAGGACATACCAATTTTAATAGCTGGGTTTTTTGTTCAAGTGTCCTCATATCCTTCGGACGTTGCGCTACGAGTATCTGGCCTGAAGAAGTATTGGCCGCAACACCCATCAAAGCATTCCGTCATAACATCGAGAGTTTCTCCTTTGTCTTCTTGATTTGCAAGGTTGGACTCTTCTTGTCCTGATTATGATTAGACGACTCGTTCTTGACAACTTTGCCACTGCGAATACCACGATGAGCTTGACGAGCACCTGCTAGAAGACTTCAAGGTATGCATTAGCCAAGCAAGAAAGGTAAGTCAAGACGACGCACGTTTTCCATTGAACCATCTCTTCACTAAATTCCGTTATCTTTTCCCGTAGAATATTCATGTTCTGGTGTGAAGAAAGTCCACAATCCTTCGCGATTTGCACAAGAGCATTACGCTTCAAGCCATTCCTAACGTGTCAGGTAAATAAAGATAGAATAATTGAACAAGATGTCTATGCACAGGTCCTGGTATCTGACATAAAATATTTCTTCTTCTTGTTCTGTCAAACGAGTAAACCTCAGCGTTTCGTAAAAAGCTCGTTCTATAATATATATACCTGTCAAACGAGTAAACTAACATAAGAATAAATAAAGTTAGTATAAGTAAATGATGTATAGGTAATGGACTCACCCTCAGCGTTTCGTAGAAAGCTGAGGGCGGGGAAGTTTCGTAACTACTGAATATAAATGAGATTGACCGTCGGTGGAACGAATACGAAATATAAGATAAGAAAACCTAGGTGAAATATATTGTCAAAGTTGTACCTGGCCGGACTCGTATTTCCTGCTTTGGCCTAATGTCCATATTCATCTAACACTCCCCTAGTCTCGGTCAGGGATCAACTCCCTAAGGCCGAGGAGGGATACTTGTCGATTGTGAAGAGCGGGACCAAGAGACTTGGTGAGGATATCAGATGGATTGTCCTCCGAAGGGATATACTTGATAGCGATGTCACCGTTCTCCACTGAGTCTCGAAGAAAATGATACCTAATATCAATGTGTTTCACGCGCGAGTGAAATTTCGGGTTCTCGGATATCGCAATAGCGCCTTGATTATCACATCGTATGAGAAAAGGACGAGGAACGCTGTGGCCTAATTCTGAGAGGAAAGAGTGTATCCACTTTGCTTGTTGAACAGCTTTTGCAAGGGCAATATACTCGGCTTCTGTAGTCGATAAAGCCACAACGTCCTGATGTTTAGACATCCAGAATGTGGGTCCTCCTGCCATCATAGTCAGGACTCCAGAGGTGGAACGATGAGAATCTACACACGAAGCGTAATCGGCGTCTGCGTACACAATCGGGGATAGTCCACTAGAAGCCTTCCGAGTATAGGTAATCCCAAAATCCCGAGTGCCACTAATATAACGCACTAGGTGCATTAGATATTGCCAGTGGACCTTTCTAGGCTCGTGAGCAAAACGACTGAGTACATTTGCGGCATGCGCTATATCTGGACGACATGCAGCAGCACCAAATTGCACAGCTCCTAGGATTTCTCGGTAAGGCTTTTCTCGCATAAATTCGATGTCGTCGGTAGAAGGAGGGGAAGCTCCGATCGAGAGAACTGCGCCGTTCGGGGGTGGAGTAGACTTTGGTTTCACGTCTTGAAGACCGTGATGACTGAGGAGGTTGTTCCAGTAGGCGGGCATGGATAAAGTAGCTGTTCCCTGGTCTCTGTCATGCGTAAGCTTCATGCCGAGGGCAAACTGTACGCTGTCAGTTTCCTTGATTCTATACTTCGACCCAATCTCCATTTTGGCCTTCTCCATCTCCTGGATTGATGAGGATCCGCCAAGCGTATCATCCGTGTACGTACCGGTCATGGTCTCCCCTGACCCAGATACTCGACTCCTTACACATTGGTCGGCTTGATTTCGAGTATATCCGAGTTCCCTGTATGTCCCGTCGAGGGTCTTCCACCAGTTTCTTCCCGCTTGCATCATACCGTAGATAGATTTCTGAATTCTCATGACTTTCCCAGTATTTCTCCCGGGGAATCCTTCGGGAGGCCACGCGTATATTTCTTCATCAAGATCAGCATTAAGATAGGCCGAAGCGAAGTCGATCTGCCAAATGTGGTAGCCAAGAGTGACCCAGAGTGCGATAAGTATTCTGAGAGATTCGAAACGAAGTACCGCCGCAAATGTATGGTGGTAATCTCTACCCTCTTCCTGAGTCCTCCCATTTACGACCAGGCGAGCCTTTTCTTCGACGATTTTTCCGTCCCCGTCGAACTTATGAGCTAATACCCACAGGGGAACCAAGATAGTGGCTCCAGCTGGAGGATCCTGCAAAGGTCCGAAGACGCCGAATTCTCTCATGCGTTGAATTTCCTTTTCAATTGCAGGGGACCACCTGTCAGGATCTTCCATTGCTTTGGAATAACTCTTGGGGACTGGTGTTATGCCAATAGCCGTGAGTGCGGTATTATATTCAGATGACACTTCATTGAATCCTTGTACTACAGATGCCAGGAGTGCTCGGTGTTGGGTAGGTGGACCTATTGGAGGTTGCATAGACTGTGGTACTGGCTGAGAAGTGGAAAGTCGGTTTGAGCGGCGAAGGGGAACGTTAGGATCCGGCTGGAATTTAGTTCGAGTCCGCCGAGTTTGAATCTGATTAGGAATTTGAAGGGATTGATCGGGTTTAGTCGGCAAAGTTGTCTCCGAGGTATTTGTGGTGTCCGAGGTGTCTATGGCATCAGGTGGAAGTATTGGAACGTGTTCGTAGTTCCCTTGATCCTCTTCTTCCTCCCCTCCTCCTGGTGCCAGGGTACGCCGAGGTATTCCTTCCTCGAAGGTAACATCACGGCTGGAGATAACCGTACCATTTTGCAGGTATAAGATGTATACACCTCGTTCCCCATAACCGACCATTTTACCTTCAACGGCTCTTATATCTGTTTTTCCCAGACTTCCATCCACAATAGTCGCCCAACCCCGAGCCCCAAATAGACGAAGGTGTGATATATCTTGACGCACCCCCCAGAATATCTCAGCGGGAATACGGAATCCATTCCGCGTTGAAGGTAGGAGGTTTTCTGTGTATATGACATATGCCGCTGCCATAGCCCACAGATTGTCAGGTAATTTAGATTCGTGGAGGATCGTCCGGACTTTTGCAAATGTAATCCCATGTTTCCTTTCTGCGACACCGTTAGCTGAAGAGGAATATGCCGGAGTTTGTTCAATCCGTATGCCGTGTGAGTCTGCCCACTTTCTCCATTTTTCATTAATAAATTCCTTCCCCCCATTGACCCGTACACATCGCAGTCTTCCCCCAGTCTGGTTCTCAGCAAAGACTCGGTAGTTCTCCACCGCTATGAGGGTCGACTCCGCTTCCTTATTCGCGAGGTAGTAGTCCTTAGTAAATGCGGAGTGTCCGTCGACAATTGGAAGTGAGTAATAGTATCCTCCCCTGGACATTGTTCTCATAGGTCCGGTAAGGTCTAGATGGACTCGTTCAAGTAACTTCTTCTCTCTATCAACGTGTGCATCGAAAGGTCTTCGTACAGCACTCCCCATCAAGCAACTTTCACATTTCCCTTCACCATCCATTGTATCTCTCGCGATCGCGAACCCATCAACAAGGTGGTGATTTTTCAACAGGTCGAGTCGAAAACGGCCAGTGTGGGCTAGTCGCCTGTGCCATGTGCTCAGATCTACCGGGTGATGTAGCGAACGAGATTTGGTGGTAAGCGCTGTTGTTTTCGCTTCATCGAGTTTGTAAAGACCATTCGATCCTTTCCCAGTTAGGAAATGTGTTCCTTCCGGTGAATAGAACTTCACACAACCATTCCCAAAATGGACCTGGTAACCAAGTTTATCGAGTTGAGCTATGGAGATGAGGTTGGACGAGATAGTGGGGCAATGGAGTGCCCCTTCAAACACGTGGGTTATGACCGTCCCTTTCTCTATGACCATTTTCTTCGCCTTCCCGACTCCCTTAATGACCAAACCCGTAGATGCCTCTGAAGACTGGCCCATCCTATCACACTCTGTATAGGTCATGAAGTCAGTTTGATTTCGAAAAAAGTGGTCTGTGGCTCCCGAATCTGCGTACAGTTCTCCGGTTGGGTGAGCCAAATCAGATGCTGTCATGGCGTAGTGCAATGTGGGTTCACCAATGGCCATGGACGATGTCGGATTCTGATTAACAGTATCGTCTTTCTTTCCTCTCCACCATGCCGGGTATTGTCCTTCTTTTCCTCCTCCCTTCCTGAAGCACTCATCCTTTAGATGGCCAACACGTCCACAATTAAAACATTTCTTGTCTCCGTTTCCAGTTCTCGCCATCTTCCCTGCAATCAACGCTTCTAGCTGTTCAATTCTTGACAACAACGCAGCATGTGGGGAAATAGGAGTAGTGGCCGTATGTGCCTGGGAGATACAATCACCCGATACAACTGCATCAGGCCGGTTCTCTACCCGAGAATACTGAAAGGAAATCTGCTGGATTACTGAAGCCGCAGTAGGGTAGAGGGATGTGTTCGCCGTTATATTCTGGATGATGTTATCAAACGCATTTGTAGGAAATGCGGCTATTGCTATTTCCCGGAACTGGGAATCCAAAATGTCAGGTAGTGAATACTCAGTTGGATATGGAAACAACTGTATTAAGTACCTGTCAGGTAGTGAATACTATGTATGTTGTGAGTATGCTATATATGTAAGTGGGTAATACGGGGCTCACCTCAGTTGGATATGGAAACAACTGAGGGAGCCCTTGTCCGCCACTCGCAGGTGGCTGATAAACTGTATAGTATTGTATATGTAATCAAACGGAAGCAGAATGTGTGGGCTGTGCGTACGCCGGGCGGAGGAAGTCTAACACCCCCCCTGCTCCGCACGATACAGTCCCAGCAGACCAACCATCTTTGCATGTACCGTCCCGCTGAGGGACTTAGTGAATACATCTGCAACGTTCATACCTGTCCTGATCTCGGATACCTTTACCGTGCCGCTCGCGACTTTCTCCCTGATGTAGTGTTCCCGGAGGTCGATGTGTTTGACCAGAGCGTGTCGCTTAGAGTTCTCAGTCAGACTAATGGATCCGAAGTTATCCCCCAGCAGAG